GTGTGTTTGTTTTTCCCCTCCTTTTAATATTTGTGTTTTTTTCTAAAAGTTTTTTTTTTTTTTTTTTTTTTTTTTTTTTTGTAAACTTTTTTTAGTGATATGACTATCTGAAAATAAATGGACAGGTAAAGTTTACTTCTGAGATGTCTAACTTTCCACATAAACGTCAAATTATTTAATGGTGCAATTTATATCATGGACCTGGATTGTCTTTCTTTTGCCAAGCCTGTTGCTTAAAAAGAAAGAAAAAAAACAAAAAAACAATTGTTTTGTCACCTTACCAAAAAGTTGAATTTATAAATATTTTTTCTATGTAATGATATTTTCCTTTGTTTCTAAGTGTTCACAATATGTCTCAGTGTGCTGGCCATCCCAGGCCATTTTACATTGCCAGCTCTGGGAGTCAAAGTGCTGACTAAGGATCCGGTCTCTTGAATTTTAAATTTTTCTTCAGTAGCAAGGTGTTGAAGCACTGCCCATGCCTATTGCTCAACCCCCTAATGGGATCTGTAGGCCTGCAGCTACAAACATAAATATCTGCAAAAATCGTACTTCAAGGTGCGACCACCCGCAGATCAATACATGTCAATGTGAAAGAGAGGGGGAGAAGGGAAAAAAAAGGGCTGCGGGATGTTTTGAATTAGAAAAAAACATCTACAAGTGTTAACCACAATGTTGTTAAGACCTAACTAGAGGAACATATCTTAAGTATTAAAATGTCGTAGACAAGTTTAACTCCAGTACGTTTTGAAAACTGCTCACTGAAAGATTTGGTTTCCTACTTGAAAATATATATTATCTTTTAAATAATTTAAAATAATAATGTAATCATCACATTTTAACAATATGATGAATACATTGTTAAAATCAAAGTTTTTGTATTTTCATGAAACTAATGAGCTTCATGTCCATAATCAAATGAAGAAAATATATAGGTTGAACAAGCTGTCATTTTTTTTTTTTTTGTAAAAGCTCAGCTATAATATGAGATTTGAAAATAGTGCATAGCCTCCGTTTAGTTGTAAATGCTCAAATAGCAGACTGTGAATTTTGTTGAGGAGTAAAACATCAAACGTTTGCTGTGTATTTACATGTTTGTGTTCAGCTAGATGCATGTTTTACATCAGGAAAAATCCCAAAACAGCGCAGTGCATAATTTCCCACTTTAAACAGAATATGAATATGAATTTTGCTCATAATTCTGTATTGGTATTGTTTGACATTGATTGTCTCAAAAGAAGGGGGGGAGGGAAACTTTATATTTGTCAAAGGAAAAATCTTGAAACAACTTTTTGAAGTGTCTTTATTTAAATCTGAAAAACTAGGAAAGACTCAGTACATGGACAGCTCCTCTTTCTAAAAGAACTCGTTCTAAACTGATCCAAAAACCAGCACCTTGGAAAGTTACTCATTTCCCTGCAGTTGACTGCAGAGAAGATTGGTTTCAAAGGAGATTCAATTGCAGAACCCCAACCACAAGCTCCCCCAAACATCCCCGACTGCCCTACCCAACTCCCAACCCCCAGACGATTCCTCATTTCATCAAAAGAATTAAGAGAAGTGCTGCTTTGAAACTGATCCTATATCAGCCCCCTGGGCATATTCCCATCTTTTCAAAAATGAAAAAGCAGCTTTAAAGCTGATTCCATATCCGCAACATGGGCTGCATAAGGTATTCATACAGGCTGAATTCACCAAACAGAATTTATTTATTTGGGAACCATAGAGCTGTAAGAAATGATAGTACTTCTTCTACTCCCCCCATTGTGGTCCCTCAGGGTGGCCACTGTGTGAGGAAAAAAAGTTTGAAAGCAATTTTCAAAAACTAACTACATTGATTCCCACTTCTCTTTTAAAGTGTCATTGGGAAGCTGGATAAATAGGTAATATCTAGGTACACCAGACATGACAAGTAATGTTAGGGTTACATCTCAATGTCCATACTTTATGAGGGTTGAAAGAAATAAATCAAACCTGCTATATTAGTATACTAAAGTATTCATGCCCCTGAACTTTTTATTTATGTCACTTTAGAACCAAAAGTAATATTTGGTTCTAAATAATATAATAGGACAGTGACATAACATATGGTCAGTGTCCTGCTATGACTCTCTACCTCAATTTCTACTTTTTATTTTTTTTTTGTCAGGTTTTTGTAAGTGTTTAAAATTGCCCTGACAGTTTAAGTAGACGGCCATATGTGTGGTAGGAATGAGGTTGTACCATATGCTCTCTATGCATCTCTGATGCTTACCCGAACACTTCCCTCTAACATATCCACATATAGAGACATTGTGTTATTATCTTACTCTTTTTGAACTGTCTCTATTGCCAATCCCGGTCTTGTCTGCTGTGTTGCTTGGTTTTCACAAAACGTGTCACACAAAAATTCCAAAAGTCCATTGGGTTTTTGTTATAAAATGACAAAAAAATGAAAAAGTTTGAGGTGTAGAAATACATTTTAAAGGCACTGTATCTCTAAACTAGAATTCAACTTTTGCAATTGGTTCTAGAATACTGTACAATTAAGTGACAAAATGAGGTGCACAAAGTTCTGATGCAAAATTGGTAGAAGGCAATTTGCATAAAAACACCAGTGAAAAATAAAGTAGCTAGAATACAAACTGAACACATGCCCAGCAGACAACAAATAAAAATCAATTAATAAGGTCATGTGAATAAAAGCTCCTGAAGTAGAAGACACCACGCTTCAAAAACTTGAGCTTTTGTTTCCCTAGAAAACAACAGTGCAGACCAAAGACATTGCTGTTTTCATTTAATAAAGATTTGTCTGTGCTGTGTGTCAAATTAGAGCAGCTTTGACTCATTGAAGGTTCACTTTGGCCATTGCAGGGCCATTTCAATTCAATTTAATTTAATCCAATAAACTTCATTTATCCCTGTGGGCATGTTTTCATGGTGGATAAAAATATATTAAAACAACACACTGGCAATGAATATAAAGAGTTACCAATTCACATAACACTCAGCCCCACACAATCACAAATACCTGCTTTAAACAGCTAGACATTACAACTATAAGTGATTAGTTTTTGTTAATCTTTCAAACTATACGGGCTCAGTTAGGGTTACAGAATAGTTTAAAACACAACAAGCAACAGAAAATATTTCAAATGAAAACACATTTGTGATCATCAAGTATAAACAATAGGTCAAAAATGTAACAATTGGCAAAGAAAAATGTTTTTCTCTTTCCAAATGCCCCAAACATCCCCGACTGCCCTACCCAAGACAACTTCAAACCTCAGCAATGTTATTCTGCCTACTGTGGTTTTAATCACATTCTTTCAGATCCTGCTTTACATGCAATGGACATTTTTTTTCAGCAATTTTGAGCTTTATAACCTAGCTTTAAATCACCTTCCATGCATACACTTCTCTATTTGGGGCTTCAGAGAAGACCAGGCATCCATGTCATCACTACCTTCCATACAGTTTCTCAGGCAAGTTTATTTTTCTCTGCATTTGTTCTCTCTCAATTATTCATCACACTCATGTTGTCTTGTTCATCACCAGATAAGAGGAGGACTAAGTCCTGCATAAATATATTGCACAGTTTGTGGCTAGCACAAACATACTCACTAAAACCAAATATAGACTCACCATTACCTCTGTGGTTAGCTTTGCCTCAGTAGTTACAGGAACTGGTTGAGGGATCTTCATTATTGTAAAGACATGGCCCAATATTATTGGTCATGTTGGTAAAATCATATTTAAGCAACATTTTGATGCATGTATAAAATTATTGAAGCTTAATCAAAAAGTCAAACTAAGGGGCCTGACAAACTGATCAACTTAGTTTATCATCAAACTGTAACAAAAAAAATATGCTTTGCAGAAAGTCTGCAGTGAACGTCCAAATTTTCAGTCTTAAATTTTTGCTAAAATTGACTATGTATTGGGAACAGTTTTTTTTTTTTTTTTTGGAAATTACTCCAAATTCAAAAACTACAATAATTCCTTTTCCTCATAAACATTATTGATAATTTAGCTCCTGTTCCTTTTATAAAATGATTAGCATTCAAACCAGCATCTGTACATGGAACAGGAAGTCTTGGCCTGGTTATCCTTCATTCATTATCTGGATGTGTGCTGGCAGCGCTGGAATCCCCCAAACATCGGCTGCTGTCCCCAGACACTACATCATCAGATGAAAACAGATGGGCTTCCAAGGAAAATCTGCAAAAGAATAAAAAATAAAATAAATTGTGCGCATTATGGTGGAAAAAAAATACCGCAAAGTTAATGTATGATTACTTGTCTCCTGCATGGATGCACGTCTTAAATATTATAATATCTTGCAAAATTTTGTTTCTTGCTAAATGTGACTCTTTCTGTGCTGTGTTCAAGCACTGTAACTTCCTATATTGCACTCAAAAAGTAACCAAATCAGGTTCCCAATAAAATCTAGTTTGTAAATTACTGTCAGAGACGTTTGAGTTCAACAAACAAATATAGTCTGCATGCTCTCCTGGAAGCTGTACCATCAGCTTTGTGAGCTTGTCTTTCATCTATAACCATAACACACTCTTTGAAAGTATAGGGATGCACTGACATTTGAAATAGTAATAAAGACTTTCATTCATTTTCTATGCCAACTTTTGCAAATGGGCTGGTACACGCTGGACAGATTTTCCATCAGTCAGGTCCACAAGGAAGCATTGAGAAATTTAAGAAAAACATGCATGCTCAAACTCAAATCTAATCCAAAATACTGTGGCAAGTTAACCTATCATGCATATTTTTGGATTCAAGGAAGTCAAAGTTCCAGAGAAACCCCAATATGAGAACAAGATAACTCCATGCAAAAAGGGCCAAGTTGGAATTTGAAATCCAAAAGTTACCGCAAACAACTATGTCCCCCATCTAGCTCTACTAGCAAATAAAAATAAAAAAAACAACTTCACATTGTATTCGACATGAAATAGGACAGTGTGACAATGGAAAATAAATATGTGCTGGAGGACTGTTCAATAATCCTGAGGAAAACAGAAAACAACTGCTAGTTGCTGTTTAAGAAAAGGTGGCTTCAAGCTGTTGAGCGACTCAAAAATCATATGATCAGGTGAAAAAGAGAAAAACATTTTGCTTTCAAAGCCACAGCAGTTTGTCTTCTCAGATCCTAAACACTGACAGTGTCTTGTTAAAAGAAAAGGTAATGGATCACAGCAACGTAAAACACCAAAGCTCAATTCAACAGCTTGAAACAAAGCTTTGAAGCTCCATGATAGGAAATGAGAAAATCTGAGCAACGGTTACATGATGCAAAGTCAACAGCGATGAAAGGAGGCAGATTTAATGATAAACAGTGTGTTGTCACAAAAAAATATATATAGAATCAGACAAAAACAAAAAGTAGAAAGTACTGTCAAAATGCCTCAGTTTATAAACAATCCTAAAGAAATAGGATTGTTTATAGTAAAAATAAATGGAGTGTATATAGAAAATCTCATATTTTTGCTGTCTGAGAAGTCATAATAATAGGCGTTTGATCCAAACACATTACATGCTTGTTTGTGATTAAATTTGAATTGTGTGGGTCAATCTAGCAACATAATGGATGTAGCAGGGGGTTTAACCAAATATTTTACAAAAGGGAACACCATATTATTACCTGTAATAAGTTATTTTACAAAACAGCAAGCACAGAAATGTTATGGCAAAAGCACAATTGTGCAGAAAACGGTGCAGGATCCTAAAATTAAGATATTCACTTACTTTGTTTCACCCTGTCTGTAGCTGAGGCTTCTCACCTCTTTGTCAGACTTCCAAAGTACGCTAGCTCTGATCCAGCTGTTCATCCTCACCAGCATAAGAGGGAGAAAAGACTATCAGATATCAGTGAGACTGCCATTGCCCAAAGCTAGATCAAAATCCACCCGAAGCTGTTGCAAAGTACCGTGGCTTGATAATCTTTGCTGATTTGATCCTATCTACTGGCAGGCAGAAGAACCCCCTTCAAAGAAACCCAGATAGTTGAATGACTGAAACTATCTGCAGACTCTGTGTTGCAGGAACTCTTTACCGTATATAATTTAAAAACAAGACAGGTGAAAAACAGAAAGTAAAAGAGAAGGGATTGAAGCTCACCCTAATATTTTTAAACAATGCTTAGGAAGCTTGTAACTACTGTACATGGCAGAAAAAGTGTTTTTTTTTATAAATAAATAAATAAATAAATATATATATATATATATATATATATATATATATATATATATATATATATATATATATATATATATATATATATATATATATATATATATATATCACAGCTAATGGAGATGCGATGCTATAAACAGCGGATATTCACTTTGCTCAGGAAGGTTAGG